TGAATCGGATGAAGATTTGCGAGTAAGCAACCCTCTCTGTAACAGAGACAGGCAAAGGGTTTGCTGAGCCGATGTTTTCTCTTCGCAAACTCAGGTTTTCTTATATTGAAAAAAAGAAGTGAAAATAACTCAAAACTTTTATTACAAAATTGTCCCAATTAATGACGTGTAAATGAAAGTTTTGAGTTATTCAAAAAAAAAAAAAAATCTAGAAAGGTATCGTGTCACTCGTTAAATTCACTTTTAAATAGTAAAAACATGTAATAAATTATTAAAATAATTTAAGCGTGTAAATGATTTTTTAATGTACATTTATGTCTTTTCCCTGTTATCTATTTTTCATAAAGTTATAATATTTATGAGCAAATTGGATCTTTTTTGTTATTTCTAGGTATTTATTTTTCCTCTTTGCCACCACATTGATCACATAATTAATTTTATAAGTTAAGTATTTATTCCTATTTATTTTTAAGATTATAAGTACTTTTTATGTAAAAATAATTTATTCTTTCACATTGTGAAAATGTTGTTCTTTAAAACAATTTTTGTAACTTTTTTTTAAGTGTAGGAGGAAACAAACTAAACAAAGTTCTTTACAATATTACCAACATGGTTTGTAATATAGTGTTGGGATTACTCATCTATAACTAGAGGTTTCGATTTCAAGCATCGGGAATGAAAAAAATCATATTTGAAGCGTTACCCTCGAATGGCCTTGAAAAGCACGATTTAAATTTAGTTGAAACTCTAACGTAGACTCCAAACACCGAGTAATAAAATAAAAAAATAAAAAATCTTACAATATTCTCAAGTAGATGGCTTAAATATGCTAGTAGTAGAAAGTTGATGTCGTTGAATATGAGTATCCAATGATCAAGAGGTCTTAATTTGTCTGATGGACTGGCTTTCATAGACCACCAACCCAAACTTATTTCATGTTAATGCTAATATCTTATGTAATTTATTATGGGCACAAAGTAGAGATATCTCATATTTTTAAGGTAAATTATAATTTATTCATTAAAAATTTATAATTACAAATTTTTTTTAAATGGATACGATAATATAAGCGTTGATATAAAGAGGATTGGATACATTAATGACCAAAAAATCAAAGCGCTGATACATTAAAAAAAGGATTAGATACATGCACTGATATATTAAAAAGAGGGTTGGATATATTAATGGAGAGTCCCGATATATTAATGGCCAAAAAATCAAAGTATTGATACATTAAAAAGAGGGATACACTAATGACATTTTTAACTTAGAGAAAAATGAGACATTTTGAAGATTTGTAAAACTTAAAGGAAATAATGATAATAAATACACTAAAAGGTGATATTTCTATAAATATTCATTTATTATGTATAACTTATTTTTATCAATTTTTTAATTCATGTATTTTCAATTATTAAAAAACTAGTGGATTTAACCGCGCTTCGCGCGGTATCATTATCCATTTTACAAATTCATTATTAATTTAAAAAATGATTTACTATTATGGTTTATATATGAACTAAATGCTAATTGGCTGAAATTTTTTTAAATGTTATAAAACAATAAAGAATTGTTTTATTATTCATTCATCTCCTATATTTGAGTTTATATATATATACTTTATTAATTTTTAGCATGTTAGTTTTCATATAAAGTGTGCGTAACATTCTATTTGATAACAATAGTAACATTTTATTTGGTTGAAGAAACAAAAACAATGGTAGGTAAATAGATGAGTCAAAGATATCAAAATACTTGTGAATGATAGTGCTTTGTCGACCGAGAATTCATATTTTAAATTTTTAATAGTGTGTTTTTCAAGTTCGTTATTATTCTCTCACAGATACTATAGTTACTGTATAATTAAAACAAAAAGTATCGACATGTTCATTTTTTCCTTTTTTGTTAACCATCTGGCATTGGAGAAAAATATACAAACCAAATAGATTTTCTCCTTTAATTGATTGTTTCTTTGTTCTTCACCAATTGTTTTATATTTTTCTTTTGTCTTAATACACTCTATAGATAGAAATGTTATTCAAGCTCCACAAATAGAACAAACGAATAACTTATGAAAATTATAATAGAAACATTTGAAAAGATAATATACTTGTGGTGCTCCACTTAAACGAATGCCTGAGATCCTAATAATTTTATCTGAGATCTTTTTGTTGCCTGCAAAAAAAATAAAATATTTGGTGATGACATTCACATAAACAAATGCCTGAGATTTTAATAATGTTACCTGAGATCTTTCTGTTACTTACAAAAAAAGATGAAAATTTTCTGTGATGATATTCACTTAAATGAATGTCTGAGATTCTAATAATTTTACCTGAGATATTTTTATTGCCTGCACAAAAAATAAAATTTTCAGTGATAATATTCACTTAAATGAATGCTCGAGATCCTGATAATTTTACCTGAGATCTTTCTGTTGTCTGAAAAAAAATGACATTTTGAATGATGATATTTGGATATCAATAATGATCCGTAACCGCATATAATCACAAAACAATTATGATTAAAAAAAATTATCACAACGCAAACATGATTGAGTTTGTTGATGTTGTATAGACTTGGGGAGAAGGGTCAATTTTATTTATAAATATTGGGGAAATGCAATAGATGGCCAATTTGCATAACAAATTTGTGATGAGACTTTTGCATAAAGTAACTATTGGTTCTAATAATGCTTCAAATTCTGAGTTTTAAGTGCATATTAAAGTGGTTACAATAGTCATTTAAGGTGGAATTAATGATGGCTTGTTATTGCAACGTTTATTTGTATTTTATTTATGAGTCTTTTAAATACATTTATTAGTAGCGATGAAACAAAAAGAATAAAGGTAAAGGTGCAAATGGTCGTTTACACATTACACAAATTAAAATTAAGAAAAAACTCAAAAAATAATAAAAAAAGATAAATAATAATCCTAGCTTTTGAGAGATGTCACATCAGCAATCTGTCACGACCCAAAACGAGTCGTGAGTGGCACCCACACTTATCCTACTATGTGAGCGAACCAACCCATCTAAACCCCAACATTTCAAACATAATAGGCAGAATATAATGCGGAAGACTTAAAAACTCATTAACGAAATCAATAATTAACTTCTAAAACTCAAAACTTATCATTATCCCCAAAATCTGGAAGTCATCATCACAAGAACATCTATCCTCAAATTACTAAATCTAAGAGTATCTAAGAAGCTAAAATAACTAAACAGCTAGTCCATGCCAGAACTTCAAGGCATCAAGACGTGAAGAAGAAGATCCAGTCCAAGCTAGAAACAATAGCTCACCCTGAAATCTGACGTGATGAAGACTGGATAGAGTTGCGATTGAGTTGAAGACGACCGTACGTTTGCTGCACTCCACAAATAACAAAGAGAAAACATACAAGTAGCGGTCAGTACAAAACACGAGTACTGAGTAGATATCATCGGCCAACTCAAAATAGAAAGCAATATATATCAGATAATATTCATAAAATCAACCATAACACTTAACAGGTAGCAGCGACAAGTACAAGAATCATTGATAATAACGCCAAGTACACCCATGAGGACTCAAGCCTCCATACCATACTCATTTGGGGAAATAGGTTCATTAATTTGAGTATATTAACATAATTCAAGATTCATTCTCTTTATTCCTCTTGTGTCGGAACGTGACACTCCGATCCCCTAATAATACGTGTCAGTTCGTGACACCCGATCCACTAATACTATGTGTCGGTTCGTGACACCCGATCCCCTAATACTATGTGTCGGTTCGTGACACCCGATCCCATAATTCTATGTGTCGGTTCGTGACACCCGATCCCCTAATTCTATGTGTCGGTTCGTGACACCCGATCCCCTAATACTATGTGTCGGTTCGTGACACCCGATCCCCTAATACTATGTGTCGGTTCGTGACACCCGATCCATTAACCTCATTCTTTTAGTTCATCAAGCCTTCTTTTATACCAAGGCATTATCATTAACAAAGAGGTTTTAAGGTTTCAGATTCGACAGCCTCATCATGCTTATTTTATCACAATTATACAATCACATCATGCAAGCACACAATTAAGCATATAGAAGGGTTTACAATACTACCCAATACATATCATTCGCTATTAAGAGTTTACTATGAAATAGCATAAACCATAACCTACCTCCACCGAAGAATTCGCGATCAAGCAAGCTATCCCCCAAAACCTTTGCTTTCCTCTTCGTTTCTCTCTTCTCTCGATCGTTCTCCCTCTCTTTCTCTTTTTCTGGTTTTTCCTTGTTCAAACTCTTTTTCTTTTACCCTAATTACCATATAATTAAGTATAAAAGATGACCAAAGTAACCCACTAATTAATTCAAGGTTATCTCCTTTAACCCCCAAGTAATTGAATTATTAACATTCACCCACTAACTTAAAAATTATAAGCAGGAATAGTCCAAAACGCCCCTTAAAACATTTAACAGAAATCCGACCCAGTCAGGGTTACGCAGTCTGTGACGAGCCGTCGTTCCTGCGACGGTCCGTCCTGCTGAGTCGTCACAGAGTTCAGAGACTCAATTTCTCTAAAGGGTATGTGACGGTCCGTCGTGCCCACGACGGTCCGTCCTGCCCACGACGGTCCGTCCTGCCATGTCGTCGCGAAGTTCAGAGAGTTGTTCTCAGTACCCAAATTTCCAGAATCTAAGTGTTTTGGAACGAGACCTCCTCGACGGTCCGTCGTGGGATCCGTCGACCCAGACAGTTATTACCAGAAATAAACTCTACTGCTCAAAACGACTAACAGGTCGTTACACAATCTTATATCCAGATTTATATAGATATATAGATTTTGAATAATCCCGTTGTCAAAAACTTGCTTCAAAATAAAGGGATATTTGATTTTATATATATATATATATATATTTATGACATGTGATTTTCACTTTTAGAATACCGATTTATCAGTTATTGATATATAATTTAGCCTCAACCAACTGAAAAATAGGACAACTCTGTCTTTTTAAGATCTGAACATTCTTATACATGTCTGCAAAACCAATTTTAACATGTCCACGATGTGTATCTTGTAATTGCAAAGTGTACATGCAGAAAAAACATTTTTAACATGTTCAATATACCACAAATCCATCTTCTTGACGTTGTTCTTGTAAGCATAACTTGAGTTACAATAACGAGTAACAAACTACAGAAAAGAAAAAAACAGTTCCAGAAGTAATTATACTTTGGTCATTCAATTGAACATATTGGGAAGTGGTCTGACAGCCATGAAAGCATCTACCATCTGCAGAGAAGACCATGGAACAAGTAAATAAATTAATCATACTGGAAACAGAATAGAAAAGGAAAAAATAAAATATTAAACGAAACGAGCATAGAAAGGAGACGAGACATCCAGTAAGTTGGACAAGTAAAAGAGGCACTAAAGAGCACTTTGAAAAGGCAGAACCCTCCGGTTCTGTTCCTCTTAATTCCCTGAGAGTACTCGAAAAAGAGGAATAATTCCTGATGGAATGTCATGCTCATGAGAGGAGACCTTCACACCCTCGGCATATCTTTTTTTTTATGCTAGGGCGAGCTTGCACGCAGCACACCCTTAACATAATTAATGAATTATGCGAGGAAGAATATTGAAAATGGAGACTTGGTGCTAATTTCAATCGCATTGTGTTCACTTACACTAGCAGATCAAGCTTGAATCGCTTGGTCACTAAAGGAATCATATCATTAGAAATTCAGATATAGTCAGGACAAGTTGAATGGATAATCCAAGGCAATTCAACATGGAGACTGAGTAATTTGAAATTCAGAAAGTCCACTGTCAGTTACCTCATCAGTCACTGCTGCCCTAGCCCGTCGATGTCTTTCAACTAGATCTGTTAGTACTTCAACTAGCCTCTTTTTAATTTCACCTGTCAGCATACGGCCCGAACCATACTCCTGAAAGTTGAGCAAATAAGTATTATTGGTAATATCATCTGCCGGTAGTCCGTGCATAACTGAATTGAATGCTAAAAGCTGGAGTTCTACAAATGCAAATTTGATAGCAAAGAAACACTAAGGGAAAGCATGAATTGTAACCTCTCTAATGTGTTCCATCTCTGCATCATCGTCCAGGAAAAAGCCAAGATATTTAAATGGTATATCAACCTGCACAGTATCCAAGAGAAGAGGTTTAGTTTGCTGACTTTTTTTCCATGGCTAAGATGGTACAAAGTTAACTATATTGATCCAACAGAGGTGAAAACAAGCAGAGATAAATTGCATTTACAAGCTGCTATATTCAAGCATGTACAATCATTAAATAGAAATGCATTTTATCCTACGAATTAGCTATTGGATTCATATAAATTTAATTACCTCCAGGTTTGCTCCGTACTTCCTATGCAACTCAATTGAGTCTCGTCCACCTGAGAATGCATATCTGTTTATCTGCACATAGTTACAGTTTAAAGGGTCATTATAATCCTATCGAAATAATTTATTTGGCATAGAGCAATCAATCTGGATAATGCCCATTTTGGAAACCCACATAAGAACTTTCTTTTTGAAATGACAAGTATTCATTGATTAAAATAATTAAGAACTAAAATGGCGCTAAACAAATTAACTTCTCACATATTCAAATTGCCTCAGTTTCCAGTTTACCTCGGTCAGAACTCCTGTAATCAACTGGACTCAAACACTAGTGCATATGATGCACATCAGTAAGCTAGATAGAACAAGTCAAGTGAATCCTTCAATTTATGAGGATTCAAGGTAAGAAATTACAGTTCCACGATTTTTAGCTCAAAGGATCTCGTATCATCACCTGAAGACTATGGAGGAACCAAACAAGGAAATCCAAGCCCAATTAATCTCCTTGAATCAAAGAAATCGTGTGACAAGAACTCTTGTTAACTCATTTTCGCTAGAGTTTAACTATTAAGGGAATTTGTACATTTGCCTCTTGGGTTATCATAACTATAAATACTCATTTAGTTAGTGTCATTTTTCTTTTAGAATGAATTTTAATGAAGTTCGTGAGAGCTTAAGAGTATTTTATTTCTTATTAGCATCTTTTATCACTTTAGTTATGATAAGATATTTGTAGAATCAATTCCTCTGCCAGCTTAATATGTTAGTTTGTTTCCTTTAGGTGTTTTATTGTAACGTGGTCAGATTTTTACTATTCTAGATTTTGTTTTGGTTTCATTTGAAAGTATTTTCCACATTAAAGTTGGTTGGTCTTCTATGGTTTCTCCCTTACTTTATTTTATAGCTTCTGAATCTGCCTCAACATTGTAACCCGCACCCTCATCCCACCCCACTCCCCACGAACAAAAACATTAAAAAGAACAAATTGAAGCTTTGGTATTCTCAGAGAAATAAGTATGACACAGAAAGTAATTGAAGAAAAATCATCACCAGTATTGAACAAGAATCGAGATACGTTTCTTTTCAAGAGTATCTGTCACAAATACCATTTTTACAGACTCATAAAGAAAAATTTCTGAAGTTCTATTAAATTTAGTCAAGAAAAGGCCCACATCTGGAGATAAAGACAACTTATTGAAAATTTTTATGTATTCGAAATTCCATCCTATAATTCTGATTGTCATATTTTGAGTTGTACAACACCTTATTAATTAACTTGCTCAGTTCAGCATGCATTGTTTCTAATAATTTTCTTTATGAAAGTGGTGTCCAAGGCAACTTGTGCAAATCACAGCTATTTCACCGGATACATGCCACCTCCCACCAACACATATTCCGGGTAACTCTCTGCATGAAGATTAGACATATGGAAGAAATCACCTAGTGTTTTCTTTATCTCTACTGAGATCTGAATCCTGATCTCAATTGTTTGCAGCCACTTCATGACCATTAGGCCACATACTTGGGTGCATTGTTTCTATTGAATTTTATATAAAGACTGTCTATAGTAATCCTCCCTCCTCATCCAAGAAGGAAAGGACAACACAGAAAAAGGAGATCAATAAGAACAGGATTATGCACAAAATGGATGTCCTTCAATTGATAAAAGCATTGACATATTAGGTGCATCAAATGTGTAAAAATATCTTTTTTGAGTAGGTTTATTTTGTTTGAGAAGGTGCGCAATAATACATTTGAAAGCCCAACCTTGTTTTTTATCTCTTTTGCTGAATCAGTCACATAAATGGCAGAATTTGGATCACTAGCAGACATTTTTCCATTCTCCCCCTGCAAATGTTCAACAGAAAAGTAAAATATTAACAGAAGAAAAGTATGACCATTTTTACAAGCAGACACGTTAAACAACATAAGCTGAAACAAGTGTGCACAAATTAATTTGACAAATAAAAAGGATGAGAACCAGTTTTATTTCTACTTGTTTGGAATCAGACAGATACCAACATGGAGGTCGGCACATCAGACAAAGAAAAAAGATGAAATGATATAACCATTATACAGTTAGTGATACCTTTCATATAAGTTGCAACTCAAGAATCATTAGCAATTACAGAATTAAAGAACCAAATTCAACTGTGAAGAGCATGTATGTGGTAAAAACGGAGGAAAGGTGAAAAAAGAAAAGAACATAAAATTTTTTGAAATTTTCAAATGCAAAAAACGATTTTGTGGCACATAGACAACATTCATACGAAGGCTATTTGCAATATGGACAGAAAGAATTCTACCATACAATATCCAACTAGAACTAATCCTTTATGAAAAAGTTACTGAAGATATGGGGCTTTGATCAACATCTCATAAAGGAAATTGTTTGTTGTGTTTCCTTCATGAAGGAGGAAGAACTGTCATTCCATGCTTTATGTATTTTTCGTTAAACAGATTCTAAATAAGATTAATGTCTGTTGAGAAGTTGATAAATGGCAAGTGTTCTTAACTAAAATTTGCATATCTTATGGAGCAGGTAACTAGGTCTCCTTGTCGCGAAATGCTTCTCTAGCATGAAGAACCACGACTCAGGTTCTAGGTACAGAAAAAATTACAAAGGGAGATAAAGCTAGCTATCGGAAATGCTGCATTACTCATCCTTTACAAAAATTAAACAAAAAAATAAACTAGATTTAAGTTTAACTATGTTTTACAGGTCTATGGCCAAAAGACGCCACATTTACTGGTTTATGAGCTGTGAAGAAGCACATGCTGTAAACTGCAATTTTTTGTCATTCAGAAAGGCTCTAGTTGACTATTCAAAAAAAGATGCTGAAATACACATATAACCAGAACGTAGCACCAGAACTGAGCTTTCATTTGTAAGGAATTGGGCTATAGAGATTGCCACCGCTCAAAAGGATCATATAAGAGGTCATTGAGGTGATAGTGATTCTTTCTAACTATCTGATTATGGATGCTGCAAAAAATTTCCTTTAGCAGTGGCATTCGGGTCATTTTGTGGCCAGAAGAGTTAAGCCTTCGTGGCAACAAGTTGAGGACAGACAAGCATAATAGAACAAATTGTTCCTACTAATTAACTGTAAAAGACTTAAGTCACAGAAGTGTGATCAAAGTGAAATCTGATTGTAAATTTGTAACAAAATTTAAATTGGTCGGTCACTGGTCTATAAGGAGGGAAAAACCTGAAGCGCAGGAAAGAATGATGATTCAATCAAAGCAGGCTTGTGATAGCCTATCCGGGGAGCAACATCTCGAGTCATTCGGAAATATGGATCCTGAAAGATCACTTACTGATGTTAGTTCCTCCAGTAGAAACAGAGGAGAAAACTATCAATGAAAAAATCATGAGAGACATAGCATGTAGGAAAAGAAAGAAATGAAGCAATAAAACCAACATGACCTCCATTTTTTAGATTTGTTTTCTTTTTCTTTGAAGATAAAATGACAGTGTCTATATATCGGCTAATCAATATAATTTAAAGCAAAACAGGAGATTTCTTGCTTATCTGCCTATTTAATCCAGCAGATAACAGCTTGAACTTGCTAAATTGTGTCAATCATCATACGCCCACGAACTATCAGTTAGAATATTTAACTAGAAAATAGCTCAATGTTAACAGAGTAATGACCGCACCATAGGCTTAGGCTAATGTCTATTCACCACATACGGAGACCTAACAACCCAAAAGAAGGACAAGATTTATCGTCAGCAGATTACGCAGTACAAAGAAAGGCACCTATCAAGAGAAAATGTTGCTTCCAGCGTTTAGGTTCTAAAAAAATGTTGCCTCCAATGCATAGCAATATGACAAGACAATAACTTGAGCCCTAATATATAATACCACCAATTGAACAGGACCAAGCAGAATTTTGAGATCGCCCATCCAGCATTTTCTTTTGATAAGTCAAATATCTTAAGTGCATAACACATCAAGATGGTGTCGACTTTTAAAAGTGCAAAATGTATAAAATCAACTCAAGCCTCTCATTAGTTCAGCACACCAAAAATACATTAAAATCAAAAGAGAACTCCTTAAAGGAAATCAATGGTTTCTATCATATTGGAGGTTGTTATGAAGGTTACTATGAGATCTTTGTGGCAATGAAAAATGAAGATTGCTTCTACTGATCGGGAATAACCACCACTCTCAAACAAAATATGCCCACCCCTTTAGAAGTACGGATAATTTTTTGGATTTTGTTAGCTCCCTAACTCTCTAGCACAGTAGGGTTTAAGGGGTTTATGTTTTTGGCTGCTTTATAGATTTTGCAGAGTTAGCTTCATGTAATTTTCATGTTTGAAGCAACTTTATTTTCAGTTATAATCTCTGCACCACTAGATGCATTTCTAATACAATTTAATTACTTCACCCAAAAAAAGTATGCCCATGTGACTATACAAATAGTACTATTTTATTGACAACAAAACATACAACTTCATTTTTGTAGTAACTACTAAGTGAGGAATATATTGCTCAATCAAGCAACTGTAATTAGACATTTGAAGAAACCACAACAACATACCCACTGTAATCATGTCAATTTTTTTGTAGGAAATAACATTACCAGGTTCAAAATATATGTATTTAAAGAAATTTGACAGAAAAAAGGAGCAAGAAAAAACCTGGTCAATGGCACATGGAATCAAACAGCGAATGTTCTCATTGCCAAAGATATGAGGAAATGAACTGGGAAAGGATGGCACAGCCTATAATTTTATAAATTCAGCTATGTTAGTTTTTCATGCGTTCAAAACCAAATTCAAATTCTAAGTTTTGAGGAAAAGATAAAACCCGTATAAGATTCAGAGTAAGCTACTATTCCATTTTTTTTATTTTTCTGGGGGTGGGGGACTAGGTGAAGTATACTATTCCAGCTTCTTCAAGCTTTTGACTTTTCCAAAGTTAATCTATTTGACGTGAAAATTGGAAAACAAATATGAATATAATGAACATAAGCTTCACAAATGGAAGCACAGAAAGGTTTTAGAGAAAACCTCTTGGTGCTATATTGTTTCTTTGGGTCAAAGCATTGTGGTTTTCTCTATATTTCCTTCGTGTCTTCATTTTCCTAGATTTTATTATGGGGCCACTGGAGGGATGTACATATAAAGATAACTTAAGAATGGGAAGTACGAAGATCTTTCCGAAAGCATTAGTCCAAAACTTGAAAAAAAAGTTTTTGCAAAATAGAGTGAGTTATAAACAGACTATAGTTACGACATTGAGGAGTATGCTACCTGGACTGGTGGAAAACTAACTTTCCCAATGTGATCTTCACCTGTGAAACCAAAAATACCAACAACCTGAAAAACAAACCACACAGCATAATACGTTTAAGAACTTTAACACAACATACTCCTCTAGATATAAAGTGGAAGTAATCACCTTATTGTATGTGACACATTTTGCAACCCTGACCATGTTCTTGTAAAAGGCGCTGCGCAAAAAGAATTTTTATTAGCACCAATACTCTAAGTTGTCCAACAAGAAATACATCATAAAGCATGTAAATAAAAATCATGGAGACATACACATGAATTTGAAAGAAAGCACAAGTTGATTGCATCCTTGTGCGACCATATAAGCAAAAATTATCTTTCTAAATAGCAACACCCACCCGCCCGCCCTTATCACATCCAAAGCAACAAAACATAACCATGAAAACAATATAACTGAGTCTCCTTTTGCTCCCGTCCACCGCATCCAGAAAGAAAAATCATTGTTGCATTGAGGACACTTCCCATCAAAAATAGGACAATGACTCTGTGTCACTTTACAAGTATCCCAAGTCTCACTCTGTATACTTCATTAATCCCTTAAACATTATTTTCAACTTTTAAAACTTCAAAATATCACCAAAACACTATCCTTGTAACATATACCACTTCTAGTATGATTAGCATATGTATACATGCTTTTATACCCACCAAACACTCGAACAATACAATCTAAAAAAGGAATTCTCAATATGAACATTTTACTTATAGTATAAACCGCATTCCGGAAGAAAAAAAGAGGCTACTTACCCACCAACATAGTCAAAATCAGAGAAAATAAACGTCTTTGAAATATCAAATCCACAAGCAATAATGTCTTTAGCATTCTCACGAGCAAGTCTTTGGCTTTCTTCCACTGACAAATTCTTCCACATACATTTCTCATCATCAGTCAACTGTATTACAAGCGGCACCTTAAAAGCATCCTGCAAGTACCTGCAGCACAATAAAACAAATTCACAAACCCAAAAGTAAGCAAAAAAATCCCAATAAGCATTGTGTATTCAAATCCCAATTACTTTGTAAACATGAAAGGGATAAGATGACCCAAATGCAAAGCTTCAGAAGAAGGTCCTCTGCCAGTGTACAAATAAAACTTCTCCCCTTTCTCATAAGAATCCAATATATCATTAAAATCACGATGAGCAAAGAAAACTCCACGGCGAAGGAAAACATGAGGTGCCCGATTCGTAAGACGTTGAACTCTCTGAATTAACGACTCGTCAAGCCTCTGGCAACCAAATTTGTCGATCAATTTGTCATAGTCAATCTTCCCGCCGTCTTTTGCTGATACCTCCCATGGGTTCACTACTTGCTCCTCTTCTACCTCTTTGCTTTTATCATCCTTCAGCTCCGTTTTCTCCATTGACGACGACTTCCTACGAGCTAATGAGATTTTCAGGGGACAAAATGATTTTCCGGCACCGGCGACGACTTGCGGCGAGGCCGGCGAGTTTGAGGATTTTGGATTCAGAGAAGTGAAAAACCTCAGTGCTAAATGGGGTAATGAGATTTAGCAGAAATAGACATAAAAATATATCCTTTTTAGTCCTCAGTTATATCATATATTACCAATTTTATCCCACTATTAACAAATCTTTCAATATTACCCCCAAACTCCCCGTTTGGACATAATTTGAAATTTCGTTTGAAAAACTCGACAATTCGTAAAAATTATCAAAATTTCTCGATTCTTATATATATATTACCAAATAAGTAAATTATAATTCATAAATAAAGTAACAAAATATCATGAAATATTTCATGAATAAATCAAACATTTACATATCCCTTTTATAAACGCATGCTTGCGATCGTGATGCATCAATCAAATTGTAACCACTTTGCCGAGGAGCTACCTGTTACTATCGGCTTAAGTGTAGTTAAATTAATTATATACAGTGTTTTGTTTCAAAAGAACAGATTAAATATATACGTATATTTTTTCGATGTAACCACTTGAAACAAGATAGGGTCGTCCCTGCTTGCGATTATATGTTAGTATTATAAATTTTCAAATACACATAATATATAAAATATTCACAAAGAGGATAAATCTTTTTTAACAAAATTTAAAATGATGAACTTTTTATTTACAAAAAGAAAAAAAACTTATGAATCAAGATTTATATTTAAAATTATGATTCTAAAATTAAATTAAAATTTTATTCGCGTTTTATAAATAAACTTTAATTCTTAAATTAAAACTTCAAACTTAAGCCTCTTCGTAGAATTTTCATTATTCACGTTTCTTTGACTTACCTAATATCATTTATCTAATCCATTGACAAGTTTTGCATAATTGAGCATAAGTAAGGGGTTTAAATCTAATTAAAATTTTCTTTATATGTTAGATTAATTTTTAGAAAAAAATTATATAAATACATAACTTAAGATATCATGATCTGCAATTTTTTTTATTATTTTAAAAGATAGCAAAAAATTTCTTTCAAATATATCTCTACCATTAAGTAACATATCATTTTTCAATCTATCAGACAACTAAGAAATATATTGGACAACAATAATAAATTTAAATTTTTTGAAACTAAAAAAATAATTAAAATAGAATATAATTAGCCCCGAATATATGGAATTTCTATACTTTGTACTAATTTTTATGCAAAATATCTTATAGCATCTTGATGATTTAAGTAATGGCCAATTTGTTACAAGGATTAACATTAAATATGCTAGCTTTAGTATCAATTAAAATGAAATGACATAGAATATGAACATAATTAATAAAGTTGTCTTCTTTATCTTTTGACAAAAATATAAAGTTGGACAATTCTGAATTCTCCCACCAAAATATTACACAACGAATAATATCTAAAGAATCAAATTTTTCTTTTTATTCTAATTGCATTAAATGAGTAATATAAAATTACAGAAAAGAGGTAAAGTAAAAGTGACAACTTTATTCTCTTAAACCACCCCAATCAAAAACATTTTTTTATGGAGAAAAATTTGATAAATTTGGATACTTGGTAATTTTTTCTTTTTTGTTCAATATTTGATATTTGAATTAGAATTTGATTAGTTTAAATTTGCTCTCTGTAGAGCTCATTCAGAAGTAAGCACTTCTGTAATGACCCAATAAATTATTTTTGAGAATTTGAAACTATTTGCTTTACTTGAGTTAATTAATTGATGGGTAATTATAGATAATTGACATAATTAATAGTTAATGGACTAAAGTATTAATTAATTTAAAACCTTATACTACTTGACCTCTTATATGATAAGATAAGCGAGTAAAATTTATCACTTTTAATATTAACGGAAAAGGGCTTAAAATACCCTCAAAGTATTGAAAATTGTACAAAATTATCATCCATCCACCTATTGGCTCCAAAATACCCTTCTCACCCACTTATTGGCTCCAAAATACCCTTGTTGTCCGCCTTTTGGTTCAAAATTGACCACTTATTTAACAGTTTTAAATAATTTAAACTATTTAAATATTTTTTTAAATACGTGGCGCTAAACTATTTGTTTATAATTTAACTTATTGGAATAATTTATAAATCAATCCACTACCCACCCATTACTAATTAAACCCCTCCAAATTAATAAATCCGTCACATTATTAATGCAACAACAGAAAAGCTATTATCAATTGAGTGTTTTTAAAAATTTGAGGTGAAAATATCTATACAAGTAAATTATCATACATTCAAGTTTCTAAATAAAAATTAACGATAAACTTAAAAATCTAACTATGTTCATCTTAATTATTGTTACGTCTCAAATATGTGATGTTACTTCATAGGTAAATTTTTTTCAAAATAATATATTAAAGGTTTTAAAATAAATCATAATTATTTATAAAATTATGTTATTAAAAAAATGCATGAATGAATTCGGGATGTATTATTTTTTTAACTTTAATCATAAATTTCTAATTCAATCTTGAAAGAGAATCGTATAGAAAGTGTCCTTTTAAATAAGCGGCTCAACCAAAATTTAATTGGGGCTTCGATTTGGACTCAAATAATTTTGGATGTCATTTTCAGGAATTTATAATTACATCGTGTTTTAGTAGTGTTTATGGTGATTTTGATATTATAATTGGATTACTAATTGGGTATGGTTTAATTAGTAATGAATGAGTAGTGGGTTGGTTCATAAATCATATTAATAAAATTAAATTATAACCAATAGTTGAACGCCAAGTATTTTAAAAAATATTTAAAGAGTTTAATTTTAAAAAGTTAAATAAGTGGTCAATTTTGAACCCAAGAGTTTAATTTTAAAAAGTTAAATAAGTGGTCAATTTTGAACCCAAAAGTGGATGACAAGGATATTTTGGAGACAATAGGTAGATGAGAAGGGCATTTTGGAGCCAATAGGTAGATGGAAGATAATTTTATATCATTTTCAATACTTTAAGGATATCTTAGGTTCTTTTCAGTAATATTAATTAATTTTGAAAAGAAATAAACAAAAAGAAAATAGATGGACAAAAAATTTATCCGCGGCTACGGATTGCGAATTTTAATCTCTGCATGTAATTGAATTAATTGATCTTGATAATGATTATGCTTTCACTAAAAGCTACCTATATATGTATATAATAATATTATAATAGCATAAAAATTGAAAGGGGGTTGTGGGAATTAAGAAAAAAAAATGGCAGATCTTATATTTATATTTTCAAATTAATTGGAGAAAGTAAATGCTTTGGTGCTACCAACAATTTCAAGTAGTAATTAAGTTGAATGCTCACTAAATGGTTTAGATTGTTACTATGTACATTAAGGCCTTTGGGTTTATTGATTTTCACCATTGATTTCATGACCAGTAGTTTCGAAAATTTGCAATTTTTTATGTTATCATCACCTTGTAATTCTAGTTTTGATATATTAAAATAGGTAATTGAATATTAGATGTATCGTATTCTAGTGAATGTCATTAGATCTCCGATATTTTTGAAGAAATTGAAAAAATTGACAAGTTAATGGGCATAGAGAATTACGAACTTTATTATAAATTTGGGTGAATTTTTAAAGTGAATGTCAAAAGCATAATAATGTGGGTGTTGTTAGTTCCGAAACCTTATTGTGAATATATACTTGAATAGATTGCATCGATTCGGAAGCTCAACAGAAAGAAAGCTCAAGTCCTATAGTGATTATTCGATTGTCTACGGCAAGTGGATTTCTAAACCCTTGTTAAGCGTATGAAATTCGTGTATTTCCTTGTGTGATATTTGAAAATGATTTGGAGGCTTATTGTTTATTTCTTGATGTTGTACTACGATTGCATTGTTGTGAATTGTGTTTTGTTATCAAAATGGTTATTTCCTCATTATTTGTTTAAACATGTCATTTGCATTACATCTGAAACATGATTATGATAAGAGTTATGTATTAAGAGGATGTACCATTTCGAGGGTCGTATCGCGCGCCGCGATAGATATTATATTTCAAGAAACATATCGCGCGCCGCGACGTTACTATTATCGAGGGTCGTGTCGTGCGCCGCGACAGATGCATGGACATATATGTCCCCCATGGCTCCCAGACTGAGAGACAACGGGTGTGTATCATTATGTCAGACATGCATCACTGTATTTGATATCGCACTTCATGACATTGCACCATTTGACCATTGATGAACTTGAACTTGTGTTTTGCTGATCTTGTGAGTGATTTTCTGTGAAATTTGTGACTGATGAATATTGAATTGTTATTGAGGATTGCAATATGTTAGAGTGTTGTTATTGAGTTGGGTGCTTGTGAGCTGTTTGGTTGGACTGGTGTTATACAGGTTGTAATATAGAGGTTCGAATAGGGTGTAAGGAGTATCCATATTTTGTTCTCTTATCTTGTATTTGGAAGTTTGATTGTTGGGTACCGTGTGGTTTGACACTCACCCCTTGCTTCTACAAATATTTGTCAGGTTACGAGGCCGGATCTTCATGATACCTTCCATTTTCTTCGTTTCCGAGGCATCTCGTGGAGAATTGTGAGGTAGTTGTTTGTCATCATCTCAACGAACCTTCCTAATCCCGTTTATGACTTTATTTTTACTTGAAAGACAACGTCATTTAAACTGTGTATCTTATTTCAGTTCTATTATTTATTTACATTAGAAACTTGTGCACGTGACAAACAGATTTTGGGAATTGAATTAAATTAATTTTTCGTATTGGTAATTGTCATCAAACTTTGATTTTATTTGCGCATTTTATCAAAATTATTGGGTTAAACTGACTTGTCTTGATAGAATAAGACAAGTGCCATCACATCCATTCTTGGATCGTGATAACTTCTTATTAAGAATTTTTCTATATTCTAGACTATAACTTGAACGACTAATATCTTAAAGTAAAAGGATATATTTAACTTATTTGCATAGCAGAAAAAAAAATTCATATTGTCTTTTTATTACTAAAGAACTTTTTTCCCTAATCCAATGGGAAATGACTTCATTTATATTAAAAATTAATTATAGATTATAAAAACATTATAAATGAAGTTTTTATTGTTCAAATTT